AGTACCTGCCTTTTGCTGTTGTGTGTGTGTGTGTGTGTGTGTGTGTGTGTGTGTTAAGGGTTATGGGCTTGAACTCTGGGTCTGGGCACTGTCATTCAGCTCTTCAGCTCAAGGCTATAGCGCTCTACCACTTGAGCCACAGGCCACTTCTGGTTTTCTGGTGATTTATTGGAGATAAAGAGTCTCACAACCTTTCTTGCCCAGGCTGGCTTTGAACCACGATCCTCAGATCTCAGCCTCCTGAGTAGCTAGGATGACAGGCATGAGCCACTCTGCCTGTGTGTGTGTGTGAGAGAGAGAGAGAGAGAGAGAGAGAAAGAGAGAGAGAGGTCTTACAGTGATCAGGAAGGCCAAATTGGGGTGTCCATGGGGAAAAGTTTTAGCTCGGCCTGGAGCTGATCTCTCTTTTCCATGTTCCCCTGAGAGCCAGGCCTCCTGAAGATCTCTTGGCCTAGGGTGGAACAGACCTGTTTTGGCCTCAGCCATCAGGAAAGAGCAAAAGTCTGCTTAGTTCTTCCCCAAATCCAACTCTATGTAGAGTGACAGGCTACCATGGGCATGGGCCGCCTATCCCGTATCTGGCCACTAGGGGGCAGGAGTTGTCCACTGTCGGGCTTGCACCAGTGAGCTGTGATTGCATCACAGCCAGGTTGAGGTATGGGAAAGGGGCGTCTGACACCCAGATTTCTGTTGCCAAAGGATGAGTTAACTCAAAGCTTACCTCCTGGCCACATAGAGCTGCAGGGAAAGACCTGGAATGGAATATACTGTGTTACTGGGTGCTGGTGTTTTGTTTGTTGGCTACTACTGCTCTACCACTTGAGCCACAGTTCCACTTCGGGCTTTTGGAGCTAAGAGTCTCCTGGACTTCCCTATCCGGGCTGGCTTTGAACCGTGATCCTCAGATCTCAGCCTCCCGTGTAGGTAGGATGACAGGCTTGAGCTTCTGGCACTCAGCTGTGCTGGGTACTCGAAGTTCATTGTCAGGTGTCGTTTTACACTTGGGGAAACTGAGGCTCGGAGATGCCAGGAACCCCACGCAACATAGCAAGCTGCTCTTCATTTGAACGGAAGTCATCTTGAACTTAAGTCCCTTTACGATGGAAAACGTCATTCAAATGATTATCCAGTTAGTAGGCCAAGGAAAATCAAATGTATTGCTAGCTGGGCACTGGTGGTTCACGCCTGTCATCCTAGCTACTCAGGAGGCTGAGATCTGAGGATCACAGTTCAAAGCCAGCCCTGGGCAGGAAAATCCAGGAGACTCTTATCTCCAATCAACCAGAAGAGAACTGGAAGAGGCGCTGTGGCTCAAGTGGTAGAGCGCTCGCCTTGAGCTGAAGAGCTGAGGGACAGTGCCCAGGCCCAGAGTTCAAGTCCCAGGGCTGGCACCCCCCCCACACACACACACAAAGAATGGGACCAGTATCTGGGCCTTTGCTGTCTGTCTGAAGGTGAACCGCTTCCTTCCCACAGCCAGCACTGACTATTTAACCCTGTGTTTTCTGTCTTGAAGGCAGTGTGCTCTGACAGCCCTCTGTGACGTCCGGAGGTTCCTCAGTGAAGAGGGGGGACACGTGGCGGTGAGTGTGACACCCCAACAGGGGAGATGGGAGACCCAGAACTCCTCCCGCTTATCCAGAATGTTCCCTGGGTGCCAGCGTTGGGAGAGGAAGCTAAGCAGGAGTTGCTGGAGGCCACGTCTGGCTGAGGTTTCCCCTTGGGCTTGTGGCTGCATTGAAATGTGAGAGAATTTTCTGTTCGTTTGTAGAAGTTAAGGCTCTGACGATGCACACGTGTGATTTCTCCTGGTGTGGAGAGCCGGGCCCAGCACTGACTGCTTTTCAGGAAGCAGCTGAGAGCCAACCTGGGAGGGGGGGGTACAGCGAAGTTGGGGTATCTGGGGAGGGAACCCCAGTTCAGCCCACAATTGCTTGCTCCCTTCTGTTTTTCTTTGTGAGTTTTTTTTTTTTTTGTCACTCGTGGGGTTTGAACTCTGGGCCTGGGCGCTGTCCCTCAGCTCTTCAGCTCAAGGCTAGCGCTCTACCACTTGAGCCACAGCACCACTTCTGGCTTTTTTCTGTGGATGTGGTACTGAGGAATCGAACCCAGGGCTTCATGCATGCTAGGCAAGCGCTCTACCACTAGGCCACCTGCCCAGCCCACCAGTAGTTCTTTGAAAAACCACCTCAGCCACTTTCTGCAAACTCACTCATAAAGTTCCTGTTATACACACTGGACTTGATCTCTAATTTTATCTTGGTTCCCTTCATTTTCTCTGTTGATTTTGTTTTGAGAAGGACTTCTCAACATGGTCAATATTTAGTTGACTTTAAAAATTCAGATGTCAGGGCTGGGAAGGTGGCTCAGTGGTAGAGTGCTTGCCTTGCATGCCTGAGGCCGTGAGTTCAATTCCTCAGCACCACATAAGCAAAAAGAAAAAAGCTGGAAGTGGCGCTGTGGCTCAAGTGGTAGAGCGCTAGCCTTGAGCTGAAGAGCTGAGG